TCCCCAGCCTGATGTCCCCATTCCCTGTCACCTTTGTGCCTGGCCCAGGAGCCCATTGCTCTCCCACTGTGTAACTCGGTTGTCCAGCTGTGAGCTGGATGTTTTATCTCTTGTGACATAAAAGTATCGAAAGCTCTGCTGAAGTCCCAAAAGATTCATCACAGCTTTTCTCTTGGTAGATTACCTTTTCCCTCATGGTATGGTGTCCAATGCTTCTGACTAAAATCCGAGGCCTAGGCTTTTTAACCAAGGACTTCTCAGTAAATAGAAACAACTGATTACTGACTTTTCAAACACATTCTGTAAAGGTAACAGTATTCAAATGACAGGGATTAATTTACTCAAGTGAACTACAAGAGACAGCAAACCACACTCAAAGCATTTTCTGAAACTCATGATGTGAATGGTAGAAAGTGCAAGAGAAAAACAAGCCCATGCAAAGTGGGCTGATGCTGCCATCTGCCACAGTTTGGAAAAAATGCAAATCTTTGGTAGATCATTTATTATCCTCTCAGTGACCTTCTGAAGGACTTGGTAAAGCCCTGTCTGCAAGGTAGTGTTTGCTACACTTTTTGTAGGGAAGAGAGGAAGCCGTACTGAGAATTTGTGCATTCATCTCATGGAAAAATGCTAGGAAACATAATATAGAAATTAATTTCTCTTCCAGATCTGAAAGACACTGTTAAAATAGAGTAAGAGATGTAATTTATAACTTTTGGATGCAATTTTCTATCTCTGCTTATCTTTAATTTATTATCCAATAATACTTTTATCCAAACAACACGTGTCTTTCAGAATTTGAGCTTCACCATGGAGTATCATCTTAGTTGTAGCAGCATTTTCACCCCAGGAAGTGAGTCAGGAATAATTTTATTTGCACTTGCTTTTTTAATTCCTCCCCTTCACCATGTAACCTCCTTCTTTGGCCAGTCCATGGTATGGAAAACCAGAGTTAGGGCTGCATTTCCACCTTCTGTAGTGGTTATCTGCTTTGCAGAAATAGTGGCAAAAGTGCATCACAAAAGACCTAGAGTGATTACACAGGCAGCTGAAGGCATCTTCTTCAAACCTAGATTTTTTGAATAATAGATAAACATTTCACTGTCCTTACTGTCTTTAAGAGCCTTTTTCACAACTTTTTCAAAACCCTCTAGTTTTATAGATTCCAACAATAAGGACTCAGGACAAACAGTCTTGTCCTGAAGCTGAGAAAGAACTTAATTAGGGTTTTCAGAAACTCAGTTAGCTCTGAAGATTTATACCTCTACCTGACAGGTATCACCCTATTTTAGTCATCACCGTATTTTATATTTTGCATATTTAAGATCTAGCTGAAACTTACTGCTCATTTCTGTCTCTATTCCTTTGACAGGGATGACTGCACAGAGAACACTGGCACAAAAGTCCCAGTCAATGCCTGAAACTCTGGCTGTCACTGCTGGGGTCCCACTGGGCTCCATCCTCAGCCTGGCTCTCTTCAGCATCTTCTTCAATGACCTGGGTGCAGGACTTGAAGCAATACTAAGAAGTTTCTCGACTTCCTGGGAGCTGCAAGATGTCCCCACTGCTGGTGACATCAACACTTCTTCCCAGAGATCACCTCCACCATGCCCCAGGGCACGCCACATTCACCTTCAGTGAGGTGCTGAACTCTGGCTGGCTGCAACCTGCATCTCCTCTTGCTTTGGGTGCTCCAGATCTGCATCCCACCATGTCCCAAGACTTCCATGGCTCTGGGGATCCTGGGGCTGAAGAGCAGGCTCAGGAAGAGCAGCCATGCAGCAAGGCTGCAAAGGAGCTGCCCCCATGCAATCTGTCACAAATCCTCTCCTGATCTGGAGTGCTCAGCTTGCTCCCTGCAGGACACTACAGCATGTAGACAGAGCAGAAAGGGAGATAAAAACCAGAGGTGTCTGAAACCCAGTGAGAATCTCACAAATTCAAGGGGAAACAGAACCCAGGCCCTCAGCTGTGATTTGACATTTTTGTTTTTCTATGCAGAATTTGTTTGAATAGCTGTGGAGAGTACAAGCTTTCAAGATTAGCATCCGCTGACACATTGAGGAAGGTTCTTCCATATTAAGGTGCTTTTGTGTCTCAGATAAAGAATTATTATCTCTTTACAGTTGTTATTACTGCGGAAGGAAAGGTTTCATTTAGAAAATTTTCCAGAATTAAACACAGGGAAATAAAAAACCCCTGCTGAATATTTTGTTTAAAACCTGTCATAAAACTCACCAACAATGACATAAATCGGCAAAAAGCAGGCAAAGAAAATATTCAAATAAAACAAGAAAATATTCAAATAAAACAAGAAAATATTCAAATAAAAAAGGAAAATATTCAAAATAAAATCAGAAAATGTTTCACACCCCTGTCTGATCTTTGCCCGTGCCATTCAGAAGTCTTGATATTATGAACTGGAATGGAAATCATATCTTCCTGGTCCTCTTATGAGATTCAACTTAGTGTATGAGAGAAAGAAACTGGAGAAAAAGAAATCTAAGATCTAACACACTTGAGAGAGAATAACATCCTTAAATACTGCCCCACTCTCCAAAAAAGAAAATCAGTATATTCCCATCAGTGAGATTGTTGGGCTTTGTGCCCAAACTCCATGTTTACAGGCTAGGTGTTAGTAACAGGAAGTTAAGGTTCAATACTACAGTAACTGTTTCATTTAACTGGTGTAAAGTATCTGTACTATAAATTTCTAGATTCAGACTACTTACCAGAGGCCTCTTCTAGTCAGTGGAGAGAAATATTTGCTACAAAAACTAAACTTCAATTTCTGTTCCTCTGAAGCAGATGTTTAAGTTAAATTGTGTGAGTTGTGCCCCAAAAGGCGAGGTGAGGATGACCAATTCTGCTGAGGGTGGCTTTTCTCCTGACACTGAAAACTGTAGACAGTGAAACATGGAGTAGTATTTTGAAAATAAATAAGTTAAAATTTTAGTGATTGTTTAAACTGAAGCTAATTTCCTATTTCTGTGGAACATCACTGTGAGCATCAGCTATTTTGGCCATGTTTGGAACGTTCACTGCACTTTGCACACCTATGAATTGAAAGTTGGCATCCGACAAGAAAATACAAATTACAGGTGATGTGGCAGCCAGATACAGCCCTGATACACAGGATATAAAACTTTCACCTTGGAGTTTGTTCCAGACTCATAAAACAACCTGATCTTTTTGAAGTATGAATACATAGAGACCAGATGGAAATGCTGGGGGAAGGGATGGCTTTGGCAGCATGGGAGCATGGAGAACAGAGGATTTAATGCTCCTGGCTCCTGGCCAGCTGGTGAGGAACGTCAGAACCTGACATAATTTCCCCCCTCCCCAGTTTATAGGTACATGCCATAAAAACTGTAAATCACCTCAACCCAGTTAGTGTGTTTGTCTGGGTCATAGAACTTGACATAAACAAACATAGTGCCTTTTTTTTTTTAATAGAAGTTCTAATTTTTGTAAAGGGATCTGCTGGAGGCTGTAGAGACACCACACTAGATTTTAAATAATACTCTCAGAAAGAAGTCAGAATACATTGGGGTTTTTTCTACGTTTTAGGTGTAAGTGATTACACTGAAAAGCCTATGATATTAATCTCATTTTTTTCTGAATATTTTCTACCAACCTGCCTATTGCAAAAAGAAACTATGACATCTGGTCTGAAGTACAAAGGCAACATTAAGTCTGACTGAGCAGAAAGCTAGGACTAGGCTGGCTTGAATAAAGCTGCCCTTTATTTATGAACTCTAAAATTTCTATAATTTTTGATATCCCTTCTGAGGTATAGAAAGATAACAGGTACAAATCTGATCATGGTAGATTTAATCCTTTCCTACCTGGCCATTTTCACAGCCCCTGTGGAAGGATGTGGTGCCCATTCTGCACATTGCTTCAGCATCTCTGACTCCAGATGTTCAGGAGACTCTCTCACTCTGGTGGAGCAATACTCTCCTGATACACAGTTTATTCACATCTCGTTTTTTTAAGAAGAAGAAAATTTAAGTTCTTGAACATTTTTTTTTTCTGTCTCTTCAATATATTTTTAACAAAGACTTTCTCATCTGTTGCTCAGGAGAACAAAAGCCTTCCAAAACATTACCCACTGAAAAATTTGAATTTTTATCATGTGTGATATTAGTAAAGGAAGATATTGTAAAAATTTATAAAGAAGTATTTCAGATCCAAATGATCATTTTGTCTCATGAAAAGAGTGCTTGTGTAGCTAATGAAACTGAACTATGATCAGGTTGGAAATGAATGTAATAGAAGTTTATTTCATGTAGCTTGCATTGAATTTGAAAGTATTTTACTAAAAGTATCTCAAGGCTGCTCTTAATAGTGTCAGAAGAAGACTGATTATATACATTAGGAAACATTTAAAACTTAAGTCCTTAATACTAAATGCATACATATGTTCAGTGGGGGGGGGGGGTAATTTACTTGGTGTCCTGCTGTAAAGCAGCCTTCAGTAATACTGTAAGGGCATAAAAGCTTGAAGATAAAACTGCTTAACTTATAAATTCCTCTTTATCTGGAAAATTCCTCTTTATCCTATACATTCCTCTTAAAGGATTTCTTACTTTTTCCTCATGGATAAGGCTGGATAAGGTCAAAGGCAGGATGCAGAAGTAGATGGATCCTGGTTCTAACTCAGTGTCCCAATTTCTTTTTGTAACAATAAATTTAAATTACTTTAAATTTATGGAATTTTAAATGAAAATATTGTTCTGGGATTTTTTGACTCAAGCTTTCCTCATTAGAAGCAATATTTTATGTTACTATGGTACAGAAACTCTTACTATCCTTAACTGGACTGAAAAGCTTTGTAAGCCACAATCCAAATACTGATTTTACATCTAGAGTATCAAACTTCTGCTTTCCTATTATTATTTGAGAAACCTGCATGTTCTTCTCTTATTTATTTTTGAATAATAATTCTTTGATTTTAGCAGGTATAAATAGACCTTTTCATAAGATACAAAACAGAGTTGTTTACTTTATCTAATCTAGTTTTGCCTGAATAAATGTCAGTTTAAAACCATTTGCAAGAGCTGCAATTACAAGAAAGGCAAAAAGAGAAACACTCCAATGATCAAAGACTGTTTTTCTATTCATTGGGAGAAACCACTGCTAACTTTTACAGGAGGCTGTTAGAAAAAAATATTGTGGTGGTGTTAATGTGCTCTCAGATATTTCTTGTAAGCTGCACATCACCATGGGAAAAAAAATAAAGCCAGAATACAGCTGTGTTAAGAAAAGGAATGTCTTTTCTTTTGCCATTACAGCCTCTGTCTGCTAATAAATTGATCATAGTGGGGATTAAAAACAGTAGTTTGTGAGAATATTTATCTGTGTACTTTTCATTGTACTCTACATTATACATCCAAAAAAGCCATTCTAAATAACTTTCTGCTTCTTTAAAAAAGGGAATGAAACATTTTGGAAGATAAACAATATCAATATCTTGTGACATGTGGATTTTTATGTAACCTTTTATCTAACTTAATCCTCCTGCAAAGGAATGCATGTAGATCCATGAAAAAAACAGATAAGTGTGCTGTGTTCTCTGTATGTTTGTACCATAACATTTATTCAAACAGCAAATTTTCATTTCTCAGAAGTATTCAAAGTCAAGGATTTATAACATTTAAAATTGAATACTTGCAGTGACACAGCCATTTCCAGCCTATTCCTTGTGACTTCATGAGTGGCCACAACCAGAGAATATTTTAAACATATATTACAGAATTGTCTTCTTCAAATAAAATAGTGAGAGGTGAGAAATTTAAAATACTAAAATGTAATTCCGGAGAAAAACAGCCCCTCAATGGAAAAGCATTATGAGCAATTTTTATTCTATTTACCCAACAGTAGGAGTTTGACTGTCCTGGCTTCCCTGGCTGCATCTTCCTGGAGTTTCTTTTCCAGTTCTCTGGATCTCCTGGCTGAGTCCTTGCTCTCTGAACTGGCTCCACTGCCCATCTTGAGATGTTAGAAATTCTCTTTATGCAGCTGATTTACTTCTTATCAGACCAGTTGCTTTGATTCAGAAGGACAACCATCAGGGCTCAAAGAAAATTTCGAAATCCCATTGGACCTCTCTGGCCAGCCTTCAAATCAAATGCTCCTTTTCACCTGTCACATGACCTGGAGATGCTGTAGTCAAGCATTTGCATAGCAACACAAAAATGAAGTGGTGTGATGTCATAGAATTAAAGTTATCCATTCAAAATCAAACCAAGGATCTCCCTTCTTGTTCAGGGAGGTTTTGTTTGACATACTCCAAAAAATGTCCAAAATGTCTTGAAACAGGATTGGAAGTAACTACAGAGTAGTTTTTAGCTTCTGAAGCAGTATGCATGCACTGAAGCAAAAAAAAACCAGCATTTACATTTTTTGTTTTTCATCTTTCTCAGTGGTCATAGCTCTAAATATATGCACCCTATGTTTTCAAATGACAGAATTTAAATTTACATAGTAAGGACATTTTTGATTATTTTTGATTTATTAACTAGCATGTGGAATGTTTGTTGCATTTTCATATTATGGCAAGTCCATTTGTTTTCTTGGAGTGGTAAAAGACACCTTACAGTAATTTGTAATACCTTTTTAATAATTTTTTGCAAATGTTCCTTGAGTAATTTCTTGAGTAATGTCAGAGTCTTTGCCATAGTTAATGCTAATAAATTTTGCTAATAATTGCTAATAAAAATTATGTTATTAGCAGTTATGAGTTTTGGCTGAAAGTACTACACCTTTTCTCATGAAGAAAGGACATTGATCAGATTCTCCTCACAGATATAATATTTTCATCTTAGTTTCTTCATAGTGCAGTAGTATTACAGAAATGTTTTATGTGATATGATGAAAATATTACTTGGCATGTGGAGTCAGCAGTATATTGAGAAAATATATCTACTGTAATAGTGTGGCAGTGAAAAAGTGTAGAATTACTGTCAGAACTAAAAGATAAAAAAATACATTTTTTTTGCCCTTTATCTTCAGATGAAGGATTTAAATTAAACAATTCTCACCAGTGTGGAAGACTAGAATTCATTCTAGACTTATTCACTTTATAAAGTATTTTGGTTACATAAAAAGCATGAATGTGAAATGATATTACAATTCTTCAATTATTCACTAATACTAGTTAATAATGTTCTAACTTCACAGTATGTAGATATATAAGATTCAACATGAAAATAATGTTTGAGGGCAAAATAAGCCTCCAGGATGGAAGTATTTTTAGGTCAGAAGATAGATGAGGAAGAAGCAAGAGGCAAACTCATCCCTTCCTAGAGAAAAGAAACTTTCCCAGAGCAGAGCTGTGTGGTCCCCAGAGGCAACAGGAGGGCAAATGCTGCTGGATGGGGAAGAGGAGAGTGAGCAGAATAAATATCAACAATGTACTCTGAATTCTGAGTGATATTTATTCTATTAGTGCTAGAGAGAGCTATCTTCTGAAAAGAGATGGGTTCTGCGCCCGTCCCGTTCAGCTCTGACTGACTTCTCAGGCTCAATGCTCAGACCAAAAGCTGCAATAAAGACACCAAGTTGGGGTTTGTCAGTATATTATTCTTGTATATTTTGTCATTATATTCTTCTTTTATAATTTTGTCAGTATGTCCTTCAGTCAGCAGCCCACAAAGCCATGCAGTTTTCAGTCTCCTTGCACTGAGTTGCCTGAAATGAACAATCCGTGCTTGCTGATGGCTGAATTTTTGCATGTATGCAATGCAAGAAAATTCTCTGCTTTGTAAATCTTATATTACTAGTTTGTTTATTGTTTTAAACAGGCCACCATTAAGTCTTTACACAGTCAGAGTAGTGACTGATTTGTTTAAAAAATGAAAATAAGTAACTTTGTAAGTGTGGTATCAGCGCCAGGTGTCTGTTTATCAGAATTGTAGACAAGTACAGTGTTCCTGTGGATTACAGGGGGGTTGAAAAGTAAACATTTCTGAAAACTAACATAACTAAACTTTAACTGATATCACAAATCATGGAGATGAAAATCATCTCCAAATTACAGGCCCAGTTCACTACTGAGTTGTTCTACACATTTACTAGTATAACTCTACTAATTTTGCATTTTATTTTTGTGGTATCAAACTGGAAGAGGATAAGGGTAAACCATTCAGTTTACTGGATGAGTGTAAATGAATCCTCATTTACATAATTTTTTCCTAGATGGAAAATAATGGAAAATCAATATGCATCCCATAATAGAAGTTTCATAACATTCTCTGTTATTATGACTCTGTGCACAAATTTGCTTTAAAAAAGTAGGTGTCTAAATCAAGCAGACTGTAAAGAGAATGTGCACAAATAAAGATAAAAAACAACTATTTCATAAACATGCAGTGTTTACATTATTCATTTTCTTTACTCAGTTCTACCTTCAAACTCTTAATAGTTTATTATTAAAAGACTCCATAACAATCTGTTTCTATTTCTTTAGCGAGTAAACAGAATTCTGTTTTGCTTTAGACATCCTCCTTCTCTTCGTCTTCATCATCATTAACAATGTTTTGATTGAGGAAATTTCTGCTGATGATTAAGCCAGAACTAATAGACAGAGTTTACTTGATTCTAAAATGCTTTTTGGTATCTTTTCTTGACCTCTTATAGGTGCAATAATAAAATTATGGTTTCACCTTATTTCTCTTCTATTGTTTCAACCACCTTTATTTGAATGGAAGGTTTTGAAGGTGATTCTGGAAAATGCTGCTTTGAAATGAAGTTATGCTTTGTAAAGAATATTAGTTTTGGAGCTGGAGCTGTTTCTGGTGATTCACTCTAGGTGGTGCTGATAATATAGAGTGCTTACTAAAGCATTCTGCAGCTGTACAGGCTCACAGACTGCCTGAGTGGCTGCTTCAAGTGATCTCTTCAGAATTCATGGGTGGGCCATTTTGGATTCCAGTTGCAAATTTTTATTTAATATTAAAGTTGTAATGGTGTGGGATTTTTTGGCAAATAATATAGATTGTCCTGGTAACAAGATTCTCAAGTTCTTATGTTTTCATTTTAATTTTCAGTTTCTTCTCAAAGTACTAAACACATCCCAGTCAAAGAAAGAGGAATAGCTTAGGAAAGCCATACCTTTTAACTTCTGTCTATTTTCTCTCTAGGTCTTTGCATTTACAATTTGTTCAGACTGAATTTGGTAACCTTTTCCACTTTTTCACTAAAATGAATGTTTTGCCTTTTCCCTGATAAATTTAGGAGAATGAGATGGATAAAAAAGGAGGAAGTTTTAGAAAGAATAGATTTCTCTAAATTTAGAAACTTTTTCTACAAATCCTTTAGTATACTTCTAAATATAGGAACCTTGAAAAATCTTCAGTACAATGCCTTTTGCAATCAGAGGAAACCATTCATCTCTTTTGTCTGACTAATGAATTCCTTGCAACGTGCCGCTGAGATATCCACTGGCAACATTTCAGTGGGAAAAACACCCACTGAAACACTGACAAACCCATCCAGAATTTGGTCCTTGCTGATGTGCAGAGATTCCTGCTCAATGACACTTATTTTAGCTTTTGAGACCTGTTGAGAGCTTTATCCCTGGCACTGAGCAGAGTCACGGGGTCAAAGTGTGTGTGGAGCTGAGGCAGTGTCCCCACACAGGGCTGTGCTGCTGTGTCACCTGTCCAGGCTGCATTGTCACCTGCACTGTGCTGTGCTGTCACCTGTCCAGGCTGCATTGTCACCCCACACAGGACTGTGCTGTGCTGTGACCTGTTCAGGCTGCATTGTCACCTGCACAGGGCAGGGCACTTGTGATTGTGTTCACAGGGGTTTTCAGGTGAGGGAAGAGATGAGAATGTTGACTCCATGTTCAGAAGGCTTGATTTATTATTTTATGATATACACTACATCATTACTATACTAAAAAGAATAGAGGGAAAAGTTTCATCTCAGAAGGCTAGCTCAGCTAAGAATAGAAAGGACAAGAATGATAACAAAAGCAGCTGCCTCAGACTCTCTGTCCGAGTCAGCCCTGCTGGGATTGGCCATTAATTAGAAACAACCACATGAGCCCAATCACAGATTCACCTGTTGCATTCCACAGCAGCAGATAACCATTATTTACTTTTTGTTCCTGAGGCCTCTTGGCTTCTCAGGAAGAAAAAATCCCAAGGAAAGGATTTTCACAAAAGGATGTCTGCGACAGGTGCTGGCACTGCCTGACTGCTGCAGGACAAGGGCCAGGTGGATCTTGGTCCTTCCTGGGACTCTGCACAAGAATATAAGGTGGACCCTGAAGAAGCTTCATAATTCAGCAGTGAAAAGGCCTGGGGAACTTTAAGCTCAAGCTTGTTTCAACCCCTTTCTGCTGAGGGTTGGACCAGAGACCACAGGAGGTCCCTCCCAATAAAAATAGTTCTATTGTTTTGTTAGAGAAATTTCAACTAGTTTTACCTTAGCTTTAATTTATAAAGCTTGTCTATAAGCCACTAAGGCCTTATCTTTGCTTCTTTTTGTTACCCTCAATATTAACAAAAATATAAAGCTTGAATTATTTTCTTTTTATTTTCTCTGTCTCTTCTGAAGCTTTCTGTTTCCTTTTTCCAAACAGAATATAAATGTGAAAATCTAAGTGAAAACTAATTTTTGTGTAATTTCAGCCCCTCGCCCCTAATTTGTCATTTTCTCTCTAGGAAACTTTATCAAATATCAGAAGAAAAATGGAAATCTTGGCCCTTAGCTCTATAGTAGTGCACTGATGATACTGTAATATTTGCAAAGCCTTTTAGTTCTTTACCAAATATCAGAAAAAAAAATGAAATCTTGGCCCTTAGCTATATATTAGTACAGTGATAGTACTGTAATATTTGCAAATCCATTTAGTTCTGTAATATTTGCAAAGCCATTTTAGCTCTATATTAGTACAGTGATGATACTGTAATATTTGCAAAGCCATTTAGTTGTGTAAGAAAGGTAAAAGTAATGATGTGGTCATTCATTTTTACAGA